GGCGAAAGAATTAATTATTAATTTTTACATTAATAAAAACTTTAGATTTTAAGCTTTATTTTGATATATTTTTCATTTGTTTTTATATGATAGTTTTTGAAGGATGAATGAATAAAAAATTCCAAAATTTTTTGTTACACACTGTATAAACCATAGGTGTCAGATTTGATAAAAATTTCCTTTCACAAAATACAATCGCGGTACAATGTACACCCCATACCTATAGAGTTTTTCTACAGGCGAGGAGATTAAGCAGTTTGAAGGCTGACTTCAGACAAATTAAAGGCTTTAACAGTCTTTTTGACAATGATGCGATCTCAATAATCTCAGAGCCATACTCCCCCCCTCTGAAATTGGATGCGCCATTGTATAATCGGGGGATGAGGTCAAATTAGCCTTTTTGTGTTAAGGAATAAGAAGAGAATAACTGTTATTTGAAATAATTTTTTGGTGATTCCAAATTGTTTAAAAGAAGTTTTCCATGTGTGTGCGAGAAGAGAGATATCTATGTTGTTTTTTATCTTTGACATTCTTATTATTGTTTAATATTAATAATAATGACGAATATAGAAAATGCTTGTTGGGTCTCGTATACTTACTTACCCATCACTATAATAATATTAGTTCATACAAAATCCAGTTATTAACGAATATGACAAATAGCATAACATACCAATAACATTTCTAATAACTCGCGTTCTAAAAAAAAAAAAATGTTGAAATTTATTGGGTGTTTGGATACAAAATCTGATTGGCTGATTCACACGCAAATTGATAAAATAAATTCAGTGCAACGAGCCATGTCATTATAACGGGAGTCATTATAGCGGAATAAATTCTATAATAATAATTAAAAATTTTTTAAAAAATATCATTACAGCAAGATTCAATTTTCAAAAAAAAAAAAAAGGAAAATGAACAACGAGCAAGAAAAATAAGAGGCGATGCATCGTTTGAAAAGAATCAGAGTATTGTCTTAGATATATACTGTAACTAGCCAATTATGCATAAGCATTATTATATTACAACTGTTGTTGAGTTTATTTCAAGCTCTAGTTATTATATATATATTGTTTTAAAAAAAACTGTCTATATACTTAGAGCGGATAAATATAATGAAGATGGGAATGAGAATGGGAATGAGAATGAGACGGAAGAAGAAGAAGAAGATTATGATGATTATGACGATGGTGATGAAGATGGCGATAATGAATTCAACCATCACCACAGATCCCTCACCATAATAATAAATAGCAAAAAATAATTAATGAATTAATTAATAAGTTAAATAACATCTAACTTGTGATTGATGTATTACTTCAAAATATTGTGAGATCGCGTCAGTTATAAATACATGATTTTAACTTTTCTGTAAATTTCATTTTAATTCTAAGTTTCACAATCTGTTTCTCTTTTTTTCCAAGACATCATTATCACTCCTCCATGCCAATTCTTGTTGTATAAAGCAGTTCAATGAATTTATTCTTTAAGTAATCAGTAACATGTGACCTAGCCTCTTTCGTTTAATATTTTTATATTCATATTATTGCTTATTTTTATTATTTACTTCCTATATATATTTATTAATAATTAGTGGAATAAAATAAATAAATTCGTATCATATTTATTGACTGGTCGAGTTACGAGTACATTGTCTATAAAATAAGTCTATGGGAGAAATTTTTCATATTATTTGGCATGAAAAATTATTTTCTCTTCAAAGGGTCTCTATTCAACCAAAGCAAAAAGGTGAAATTGAATTTTATCTTGTTCTTTTCACTCCTTCCGCTTGTGACAGCATCCATTGTCAATGAAGAATATAAGTCTAAAGAGGATGTGTATGATGCAATGCTTAACACATTCTTTCCGTTTTTTTTTTGTCATCTTGCAGAGAAAAATGGACGCATCAAAAATGTTCTGTTGCTATTACAGGATGACATATTGTACAACACAGACACTTGGTGATCCCGTTGTGGTTTCTTTGTCCTATGATGATTTGTTGACTATAAAGATATTTTCATTTGTAAACATGGGTTTGCATCTAATTTGCGCAGTAGTTGTGATAATTAAGCATTAAAAAAAAAGTTTTTGAAAATAGATCTGATTATTTTTTTTTTTTGTTATATTCTTGATACTTTTCCCAGCTATAGTCAAAACTAAATTTTTCCTCCATGATTTTTCTCATTTCGAGTTCTGGACTGTTATCATTACAACTAGACATCTTTTTGATCCGATTAGTATAGTATTACATTATTTGGGATATTGTCAGCTACAGCATTCACTATTTTTATACTGAATTATACTTCTCTGTCAAATAAAGTATTTGTTAAGAAGATTGTTAATGTATTCTTTCTTCCTACGTGGTTTTATCTCCCAAATATTCTGCAAACATTATTTATTGTGTTAAATGGCCAATTGATTTTTATTTTGTCAAAGCATGTATATTTATCCTGGTTCTCTCTTTAAGAAGAAATGTGTCCTTCTTTACAGAGGAGAAACCAGCACCTGATGACTTTCTGGCTACTTTAACAACATTAACTCAATGCGACATGCGCCGAACAATAGATAAATGTCTAGAGAAGGATGAAAATCCAATAATAGATAAAGAAAAGGAAACGAAAAAGGAAGAAATTAACAAATCAATGGCCGAAATGTGAGAATCGATAATGGCCGAAATGAAAGAATCAGAAATGATGAAATCGTGTAGCAAGTAGATAAGCCACAACAACAATAATGATAATTTTAGAAAGGACTATTTCTGGGTGGCTTTTCGTCACTAACAGAATATTTATTTATTTACTATTACATTATTATAAATGAAAAAATTTAAAAAAGAAAAGATATTATTATTTAATAAAAACATAGTAATATATAGTTAATTCGTTTCGTGATACATGATAAATAAGATTAATTAGTAAATTGTGGGGATGCAAAAAATACCATATTTTTTGATACATTTTTTATTATTGTTTTCTTTACAAAAATTTCACTTTGCTACTTGGAAACTCTGGATTTCAGAAAATGTAGCGCAGTATCTACATCTATCGCGGACCACGAATTAAATGTAGCCATATTAATATTCATATCCACAAATAAAAAAGATATCATTTAATAACAACAGCAATAAGAGTTTAAATGATTGATTATATCTGCCACTGTTGATTTCCAGCTAAATTACGAGGGTGAAATACTAACCCTTTCCTTGAATGTGAATACTATCATATGTAAGGTTGCTGCTGAAATTCTGATAAACAATTAGTACCTTGCCAATTGATTTCTGGAGGAGTTTTGGTAAGCAACACAATCATATAATGTCCATCACAATATTTATGATGATTAATGTGGTGTATTTAATGTTATTATTCATAATAAATAATTAAATAATTGCATCACCCCAGTAATGATAATACCAAGACCATGCAGAAATGGACTTTATAATTTTGAAAAAAGTCATATAATGAATATAAAATATGAGAAAATTTGGTAGAATTGGAAAATAAGTCTTCGATATTTTTGTTGAATTTTAATCTGAACTTCCTTTCCATCTAGGATAATGGTTTCATTGTTTTGTCATCAAAATGGTGGAAATTTTTTAATGATAAAGTCTCTACCTGGCTCCCTTTTGTGTGTATTTGTATGTGTATGCTTCCCAATTGTATACAATTATAAGTCCTTAAATTATTTCCAAAAAAATAAATCTGATATTGATCATAGGTATACATGCTGCTAGATTAAATAATCTGAGAATGTATAAACCATAGGTGTCAGATTTAATAAAAATTTCCTTTCACAAAATACAATCGCGGTACAATGTACACCCCATACCTATAGAGTTTTTCTACAGGCGAGGAGATTAAGCAGTTTGAAGGCTGACTTCAGACAAATTAAAGGCTTTAACAGTCTTTTTGACAATGATGCGATCTCAATAATCTCAGAGCCATACTCCCCCCCTCTGAAATTGGATGCGCCATTGTATAATCGGGGGATGAGGTCAAATTAGCCTTTTTGTGTTAAGGAATAAGAGAATAACTGTTATTTTGAACTCGAAGTAATTTTCAAATTTTACATATTAAATCATTTTTTGGTGTTCCAAATCGTCTAAAAGAAGTTTTCCATGTGTGTGCGAGAAGAGAGGTATCTATGTTGCTTTTTTTATCTATCTTATATACTTACCCATCACTAAATAATATATTTATATTTAGGTTATTTTATATAATAATAATGTTAAATGTTAAATCCAGTTATTAACAAATAGCATAACATACCAAATAACATTTCTAATAAAATTAAACTCGCGTTCCAAAAAAAAAAATAAAAAAAAAAATAAAATGTGTTGAAATTTATTGGGTGTTTGGATACAAAATCTGATTGGCTGATTCACGCGCAAATTGATAAAATAAATTCAGTGCAACGAGTCATGTCATTATAACGAGTATCATTATAACGGAATAAATTCTATGGTAATGAACAAATTTCTGCAATAAAAATTGTTGGTCATGTGATATTTCCTGGTCATAATAGTCGCAATTGCCTATTACTATTTTTTAAATTTAAATTTGAAATAAATGAATTTAGCTTTTTATTGTATTTTTTTTTTTTTTTTTATTTTTTTTTAACGATGTAATCTTGTTTTTACCATAAATGATATTCGTTTGGAGCACTTGGCGTCGTGTTTGTTGTATTTTTTTATATATATAAAAATTAAATTCATCTGGAAAATTCACGTGTCAAAAGATCTGCAACAAAATTAATTTTTTATTTACGTGTAACACGTCAATTTCAGGACTAAACGTAGTAAATTCGGTAAACTTGCGCGACTTCAAAGCTCAAATCCTTCACAACATGAAATCGTAACTTTGTAGAGGAAGGTCTTGGGCTTCAAAAACACAATTATTTTGGAGTGTTGCATTTCCCATTTTTGGAGGATTTTAAGAATCACATGACCAATAAAAAGTTGCGGAACTAATTTGACTTGCACTATAATAATAAAAAATTTTTAAAAAATTATAACAAGATAATGTCATTATAACGTCATTATTTAAAAAAATTTTTAAATAATTATCATCAAAAATTTTTTTATCAATTCACTAAAAATTTTTAAATCAATTATCATCAAAAATTTTTTTATCAATTACCATTAAAAATTTTTTAAAAAAAAAAAATGGATGGACGTAAAAGAAGAACAAGGAACTTATTAAATTCTTTTAAAAAATTAAACATGTAAGTATTATTAAAACTGTTGTTTCGTTTAGTTCAAGCTCTAGTTATTATATATATATTATTATTTTTAAAAAAAAACTATAATGCCATTTAAATATTTATGAACTAAACTTTACTTTTATATACTTAGAACTTCTTCAAAAGAAGAAAAAGAAAAAGAAGAAAGAGAAAAAGAAGAAAGAGAAAAAGGCGATGATAATGGTAATAAAGACGATGGTTATGGTGATGATGGTGATAATGATAAAGACGATGATAAAGATGATGGTGACGATAGTGATGACGATGAAGATGATGATGATGAAGATGAAGAAGAAGAAGAAGAAGAAGAAGAAGAAGAAGATGATGATGATGATGATGAAGACGATGATGATGACGATGATGATAATGATGATGATGAAAAAGAAGAAGATGGTGATGAAGATGACGAAGAAGATGGTGGTGGCGATGAAGAAGAGGAAGATGTCGAAGAAGGAGATGATGATGATGATGTTGAATTTACAATAAATTCAATCATCCCAACGGATCCAATTCCATACATCATGAATGCCACTTGACCTTCAGAAGTAGTGAGGGACGTTTGACAAGAAGTGGTGTCTATAGAGTAAATAGACATTAAATACCACTTCTTGTCAAACATCCTCACTACTTATGAAGGATATATTGCTTTTAAATAAAAAAAAACTTTTAATTTTATAAATTCAAGCCAACCATTGCTTCTACCAAGTATGAGATGATTCCCATTCCAGAAATTATTGTGAGGTATACGATCTATAAGATCTTTTACAATTGTTCCACTTTTGAGTATAAAGCGCATAATAATAATAATTAGCAAAATAATTAATGAATTAATTAATAAGTTAAAATAACGTCTAACTTGGATAATTTGTGATTGATTTATTACTTCAAAACATTGTGAGGTTGCGTCAGTTATAAATACATGATTTTAACTTTTCTGTAATTTCATTTTAATTCTAGATTTCACAACCTGTTTCCTTTCTTTCCAAGATATCGCTATCACTCATCCATGCCAATTCTTTGCTGTTTAAAGAAACCATAGCAATTCAATGAATTCTTTAAGTGATCAGTAACATGTGACTTAGCCTCTTTCATTTTCTTATTTTTATATTCGTATTTTTATTTACATTTTATTGCATTTATTTCCTATATATATTTATTAATAATTAGTGGAATAAAAATATATTTATTGATTGAATATATTGTCTATAAAATAAGTCTATGGGAGAAGCTTTCGTATTATTTGACATTAAAAATTATTTTCTCTTCAAAGGGCCTCTATTCAACCAAAGCAAACATGTGAAATTGAATTTTATCTTGTTCTTTTCACTCCTTCCGCTTATGATAGCATCCCTTGTCAACGAAGAGTATAGGTCTGAAGAGGATGTGTATGATGCAATGCTTAACATGTTCTTTCCAGTCTTTTTTGTCATTTTGATCAATGTGAAAAGGGAATCTGGGTCTATCAAAAGAGTGCTGTTGCCATTACTGGATGACATATTGTACAACACAGTCACTTGGGGGTGATTCCTCTGGTAGTTTCTTTTGCCTACGATGATTTGCTGAGTATAAAGATATTTTCATTTGTGACATGGATTTGTATCTAATTTGCGCAATATACACGACAATTAAGCATGTCAAAGTTAAAAAGGTTAGTGATGATTCTGAATATTTTAAATGGATCTATTTATTCTTAATATTATTCCAAGTTATATATTCATCCCAACATTCTGCAGTGTTATTATTTACAACTAAACATTTTTTTGATCCAATTAATCTAGTATTCCTTACGTTATTTGGGGTATTGTTAGTCGCAGCATTCATTTATACAACATTATTTTGTCTTTTAATGTGTGACTCAAGAGATTGGTTAAAGTAATTAATCGGAATGTTTCTAATACAGTCTAACCTCATCACAGCGGATTTATGGTACCAGCCAAAAAAATCCGCTGTGACGAGAAATCCGCTATGGCAAATTTGATGATCTGCA